TGTTCTTGAATGGGTTCAAACCAATCATCTTCACAAGAGGAAATTCAAAGAGATCAATGAAAATGAAGCCAATTTGATAGGGTTTCAAAACCCTAATTCCTCCGGCCACCCCTGGATCCAAACACCGCCGCCATTACCGCCTCGGCCGTTGTATTCTCCACCAATTCTTGGGTATGTCCAAGGTGGTGGTGGGGAAGCGTATGGCGGTGGCCGCGGTTATTCCGATCATTACCAATTACTGGACTCCTCATTGTCCTGGAGTAATAGTAACAGGAATAGTAATAGTAATTTGCCGGGACAGTTTGGACTGCCCCCGTCGCATTTCAACTCGTTTGTTGATAATTTTGTGGCTGGGCCGCCTTTGCCACCGCCGCAACCACAAGGTTTCACGGCGGGGTACGGTAGGGGGCAGCAGTACCCTTATATTGGTCAGTATTTTCAAGCGCAGGGCGGGGATAATGGTTTGGTTAGGTTGGATTCATCGGCGACAAAGGAGGCTCGAAAGAAGCGAATGGCAAGGCAGCGGAGATTCTCCGCCCACCACCGCCACAATCACAGTGGACACCACGGCAACCACCACCACCATAGCAACAGCCACCAAAATCAGATGAATCCTAATGCTACAGATCATTGCAACATGGCTACAACTTCTCAGCCAAATGCTGGAAACTGGGTCTACTGGCCATCCTCCACCGATGTGGTTCCAGCCGACTCGCCGGTGCACATAGTCAATCGGTCTAATTCTTCCCTGCAAAACCAGCCGTATCCTCCCCGGATCCAATCGGACCGACGACAGGTTGGATTTCCACACCATAGTTAAATTATTTAGTTCCTCAAATAGATTTGATTTTGAACAATGTTGTCTCTTATCTCTTAGGGATGGAAACCAGAGAAAAATTTAAGGTTTCTTTTACAAAAAGTATTGAAGCAAAGCGATGTGGGAAATCTGGGGAGAATTGTATTGCCAAAGGTAAAAAAACACTGAATCAAATTTCCCGATCGATCAAATCAAGAACGGTATACCGTTTTCGAAAAATTTTGAAACCCGAACAAGAACACGAACTCATTTTTGTCGGGTTTGTTTCAGAAAGAAGCAGAAAGCCATCTCCCAGAATTGGAGGCAAGAGATGGGATTTCCCTAGCCATGGAAGACATTGGAACTTCAAGAGTTTGGAATATGCGTTATAGGTATTAAAATTTAATTATAAATTTTAATATTCAATAATAATTTTATTTATTTTTTAATAAATTTAATTATTATTTTGTTAATTATTAGATATTGGCCAAACAACAAAAGCAGAATGTATCTCCTTGAAAATACAGGTGTGTATTTGAATGAATGAATGCTTAGATCATTTCTACTTTATGAAAGCCATTTATTAAGGTCAGTTTTTGATGCCATTTTCAGGCGACTTTGTGAGAGCCAATGGACTTCAAGAAGGAGACTTCATTGTCATCTACTCCGACGTCAAGTGCGGGAAATATGTAAGTTGACCCGGGGTCGGGTTTTTCGGGTTTGTATAATCGAGTGAGATCTTAAATCAAAAGATGTGTATATATATATTTACAGATGATTCGAGGAGTGAAAGTACGGCAACCGGGGTCGAAACCCGATAGCAAGAGGGGAGGAAAATCGCAAAGAAGCCATTCGACTGCCGGTGTGAACGCCAACGGGTTGTCATCTTCACCGCCGACCCCCGCCACCCCGAGGAGGCTCTGATGAAGCTGTGTTTTGATGTGTAGAAGAAACAAATGTAGGGTTGGTTGGATTTGATCCTTGTTTGCATCAGCCTTTTGTGTTGAGAATTTTTTAAGACTTGAGGGGGCATTGGGCACTGCATGAAGAACAGTCGTACGTATATATATATATATATGTGTATATATATATATGTGATGGGAAATGGTCAGCAAATTAGAGAGAATGTGAGGGTTAATTGGGATATATATATACTTTGGTGTTTTTTTTGGTGGGTTCCACTATAGGGTTTGTTGGTAATTAAGGGCCTTTTTTTAACTTTCAATTTGTACCATATACAATATTGTTGGTTGTTAATTATTATGTGGCCTTGTAATATCTACTCTATGTGGCTTACTATGAACATATATAATAAAAAATAATGCTTATTATAACTCGTTTTTATGATTGTTTATATCAATGTTTACTATATCGTGTAATTTGATGTGTTCGTTCGTAGGATATTCAACCATTGGAGACGCTTATGTAAGAGATTAAAGACTCCATGTTGATATCATAAAATGCTAGGGACACTACTAATCGATATACGTTACATGTCCAATGACACTCTACTAATTGATATACGTTACATACAAGGACATACAAGACTTATCTGACAAAGACATACAAGACTGGTGCATCATGTTGTTTTATACTTTTAAACCTTTCAAGTCAATCCTCAACTCCTTAATACGATATTGCCTTTACAGTCTTTGAATCAATGAATTATCATTTGATGATGCCATGTGAATCGCTAGAAAGACCGAACCCCCACCACTAACTAAGATTACTCGGGGGTCAAACACTTTTTCTCGCTGGTCGAGCTTTCTACAAAAAAGCTATGTAATTGTTCCAAACTTTTAGAAGTTGCCCATAAACAAGTCAGAATTGCCTCAACAAAAATTGATGGCATTGGACCGAGGCCGTCCCTCTCATCGTGGGGAATTTCTCAGTCTCATCACTTGCCCTTTTCCTCGTAAACTCAGTCTCACAGCTTCGCTCCAGAGCCAAGCGGATCATAATTCCTTCTCCTTTTCTTTGACTCTATTCCCTTCTGTTCTTGAACTTAAACCTTTCTTTTTTTAGAGATGATTTGAACTAATTTAAAGATGTTAAAAAAGAAATGTACTAGTCTAAGCGCACCCCTAACGAATATTGTGTGGTGTCAACCTCATAGTTTTAAAAGAGATTTCTACACTCTTATAAGAAATGTTTCGTTACCTTTCCAATCGATGTGAGATTTCACAATCCACCCCCTTGAGGTTAACGTTCTCATTAGCACACCACTAACCGATATTGTTCTCTTGTTGGGTTTCGTCTCAAAGTTTTAAGACGAATTCATCAGGTACAAGTTTCTGCACTCTAACCAATGTTTCATTCTCCTCTTCAACCATAATGATTGAGCTAAATTGGAACGTAAGGGAAAAAAAATAGAATCAATATTACTTTTTTTTTTCCCATATATTGCAATTTGCACATAATTGCATCGAGGAAAAGAATGACTTACCAAAATCAGTAATAATGAATGATTAACATTGTAGCTGACGTTACTTAATGGCCAACATGATAATTAATTAAGCCATAAAATTCAATTAGTGGGACAAACTATTTTTCTCATTAAATTTCTTGATGGATATTATTTTCCATTATTCTAGTGACATTTCTAATCAAATATGTATTATAAGCTAACCATTTTAGAGGCTAAGTATAGATTCTAGAGGAAAATATATTTTTAAACAAGTATATATTAATTATTTTACATTACAAAATGTAAAGCTTCAATATTACTTAATTATGTTGGTAAGTTTATATGAATTTAGATTTCATCAAAAAAAAAAAAAAAAAAAAAAAAAAT